GCCGGAGCATTGGACGTGAACCAGGACCTGTCGTCCAAGAACACACGGAACAGATGCCTGCCAGGTTGATGCATGAAGGCATTCTTGATCCGGAAGAGTGCTTCCGTAATGACCGTGTTTAAGGCCAACGGACTGAACGCATCGCCCTGGGGCAGGCAGAGCGGGTTAGCCGGCGTTTGGCTGGTGTGCTGCGCGGCAGAGAGCCAGCGGCTTTGTGACCCCCATGCATTTTGTAGGGCCCGCGTGAGTTGGACGGGAACTCCGAGCCTCTGCATGGCACTTATGCAGAGCTGTGGGTGCATGGCATCAAAAGCCTTGCTCAGGTCGGCGCTGCCGATGTAATCACAGTTGGTTGCGGGCTCTCACGCTGGCAGTTTTGCCTTTCTCTAGCAGCGCTAGAGGCAGGAATTTCTTTGGCTCTGGTGCCAGACCACAGTCTATACCACACTGAGCTGAGGCTGATAGGTCTCAGCCATCCAGGTCGCCTTGGCTCTTGTTGGGCTTCTGCAAGTGGGTTTGTTTCCGCTGTCTGAGCTGCTGTGGCCACGGACGCATCATGATGACGAAGTAGTCGCAGCGTCATTGGGCAGGTGCACCAGTTCGGCGCCCGTCCAACCATCCGGGCCTGGGGCCTTGTGTGTTTGCTCTCTGGCTGTGGCTCTGAGCTTGGCTGGTGGAAGGTCATCGAGCTGCAGCGGGGGCTGGTTGGGCCATTGGTTTTGCTGGGCCAGGTGCGTAAGCTGCTGCTGCTGCTGGTTGCAGTCCTGGTGGGGCCAGATGCCCTCCCAGTAGGCTTTGAGGAGGTCCAAGAAGGAGAAGAAGAAGAAGAAGAAGAAAGTTGTTCCACTGCAGTGGCCTTGCGCTGGGCTTGCTGCAGGGGGTGTGGCCCGCGGTATTCCGGTGATTGGCCTCAGCTGCTACAGCCAAGGCCGTTACTGTCTCAGCTGCTGCTGTTGCTGCCGCTGTCGCGCTTGCTGACGCCTCTGCATGTCCTCCGCCCATCGTGCAGTAAGCACTTTCTCTCGGACTTCGCAGAGCTCTTGGAGGAGGCCCGCATCGTTGCGACCCCTGGGCCATCCCAAGTCTTGGAACACCTCGTCGTCCGGAGGCCGGCGCAGCGCCACTCGTGGTGGCGGGTGGGCACCTCTTGCTGCTGGCAAAAGGCGCAGATTGGCATGTCAAGGCTGTTGACCTGGCCGAACTTGCTTGCGACCTGCGAAGAGGTAAGCCTTGTTAGCTCCGCTTTGTTGGTTCCAAAGCTGGTGTGCCATCTGGAAGCGTTCAGCGACCCGTTGTCAAGGCAGGTGCTGCAGGGCTTCGGCTGCTTTGGAGTCTCCAGATCGGCGGTCCATTGATTGGCTTGCCAGGCTTCGCGAAGGACGTGGGTCTGCGCATGTGTGTGTGCCATGGCCTTAGCCTCGTGGCGCCATGTCCAAGGCGCGCTCGGGTGCTCCAGCCATCCTTGGCGCTTCATCCAGGTGCGAGTTTGCGCAACCGGGCCGACTGTTTGGGCGCGCTGCCAGCCATGATGACCTGTGTGCTTGATCCATCTTGCGAGGCGAGTGGCTTTGTGGAGACGCTGCTGCCATGGGCTGCTGCGACGTGTTTTTGGCCCAAGACCAGGCGTGCGCCGAGGATCTTAGGGCGGTGCCTTGCTGCGCCTGCTATATGCTGTAAAGCGGCCTTGAGGCTCGTGCTGGACCTGCCTCAACGCTTCGGCCATGCAGGCGTTCAACCCAAGGCAGCTCAAGGGGTCACCCTGCGGCAGGCATTGAATGCTGGCGCCACAAGAGGCTGGCTCCATGAAGCTCACGGGGTAGTGTGGCTTGACTGAGCTGTTGCGCTCAAGCCCAAGCACGGTACCAAATCGAGCCTATGCTGATGGGTCTGAGTGAGCTCAGGAGCCCAGGTGGCTTACCTGGCTTCAGGTGCGTCGTGAGAAGGACGGGCGAAAAAGAGATCTCCTGTCTTTCGATCTGCATGATGATGTCAGCGGCAGCTTGAAAGCAGGACGGCGGTGCGTGCTGAAGCTCATCAGCACACCAGCCATCGGGGCCGGCCGCCTTTCTTTGCATTTTCTAAGAAGGAGAGTAGTAGTAGAGTTTGCCCATGTCATGCGCCACCACCCGAGCTTGGGGTTGGCACTGCAGCGTGGCCTACTCCGGTCGCTGGGTGCTGTGGGCTCTGCAGTGCCCATCTTGCCTGCGAGACCCAGTGCCCGCTGGTGATGGCCTGCGTGCGCCGGTACCGGGGTGAGCCAAGCCTGAACCTTGTGAGCTGTCTTGCTTATTGTGGCCCAGTCGACCGTACGCAGCTCCTGCGCGGCTTTTGAGCCGGTAGCCAGGAACTTTCGCCACAGTTCGCCAAGCTTCGCGCAGGTGGTGCTGCAGCTCCGTCTTTTTCGCGCCTACGGCTGCTTTGGTGTCAGGCCGCGGCGGCTGCTGAGGCTGTGGTTGCTCCGGCTGCACGCCTATCGAGGCGGGGTCATGCGCCTGCTCAGGCTGTGGCTGCCGCAGCGGTGGTGGCAGCCGAGGCTGCGCGTGCGGGCTGCGACTGCGCTGGTGGCTCCTGCCGGTCTGGCCTTGCACCACGCTGCTCCCTGCTGCTGCTGCTGCTGTTGCTGTTGCCGTGGCGCCTGCAGTGGGGGCTGCGGCGGCCGCGCTGGCTGCGGCGGCGGCTCCTGTAGCTGCTGCGGTGGCGGTAGCTGCCGAGGCTGTGTCCTGCGAGACACCGTTCTGCGCCTGCCCTCGCGGCCGTGGCGGTTGCTCCTGCTGCTGCGGCTGGGGCGGCGGCTGGCCAGGTTGTGCGTCCGGCTGGTCTCCTCGCTGCTGCTGCTGCTGCGGCTGCTGAGGCAGTGGCGCTTGCTGCTCAGGTTGCGGCTGCTGCTCATTCGGCTGGGCAAGGCGCACCGCGGCCTGCGGTCGTCCGGCTCCATCCGCCCTTCTGCGCCTTGGCGCGACCTGTTGTTGTTGGAAGTGTTCTTCCCTTTGCTGCTGCTGTCTGCATGTGAGCGTGATGGCCGCCGGGTGGCCAGCCATTGTCGGCTGACCGCAACTGGGCTTTGGCCTCGGTCCAACTGCCTGCAAGAGGACTTCGGCCGTGACCCCGCCACTATTCGGAAGGTAGCATTTCGGGCAGCGCCAGTCAGCAGACGGGCCTCGGCGCAAAGGGTTTTGTCTGTCCCCTGTCAAAGCAGCCTGGGCGCTGTCAAGCACGCGCACTTCTTCTTTGGTTGAGTAGGAAGGAGCAGCCGCGGTGGCAAGGGCCGTGCTCTTGTAGAACCGCATCTTTTGCCGGTCATGTCAGTGAAGAGCGGAGCTGAGAGAAGCGCCTGGCAGCGCCACTCATGGAGGCGATCCGGGCGAGTGTCGCCGCCTCCGATGCACAGTACCACCGGACGGCCGGCAGTGAAGTGGAAATGGGCCTGGCTGACCCAGTGGCCACAGGTGATTGCAACCACATGAGGACGGAGCAAGGCCGGAGCAGAGGACCATTGCCGCGCCGCAAGCTTCGCGCGGTCGCGAACATCTGGCCAAGACAAATGGCTGAGAGCCACGGAAGCCTTTTGCTGCCACAGGCAAGAAAGGCCTGCCACACATTGGCGCGCCAGGTGTCCCGAAGAACTTGTTGTAGTGGCCGGAGTCTAGCCCGTGCTGCCGTCCTGTATGGCGGCCCAAAGCAGAAGGAGAAGAAGAAGAAGAAGAAGAAGAACTTGTTGTAGCGGCCGGAGTCTACATCGCCACTCGCGACGCCGTGTGGGGTTGGGACCGCCGCAGTAGGCACAGCTGTATGCCCGCTGGCCCTGGTTGTTAGCTAGCCTTGCCTGGCTTACCCAATGCCCGAACAGGATGGCTCGGACGTGCCGGAAGGGGCCGGTCCTGTTGCCACTGAAGGTGGCTGACTGTCAGGGCCGCCAGTGTGTTGGTGCGGACGAACCGCTGCCAAAGGTCCAAGTTTGCTGCGCCAGGTTCCAGCCTTGCGCTTGTGGTGCGGAGCCTTTGGTCGCGTTGGGCCAAGTGCGGGACCTCGACTGCGACTTGCCATCCGATCCTGTGGATTTCAGTCAGAGCCGGCAGGCGGCTGTACCCGGAGGCACATGCGACAGCCAAGGCCGTGCCCTTGACGAAGGTTAGCTTGGCCCATTTGGCCACAGTGGTGGCTCGGTTGATGCGGGCAGTCTCGTCCCCGCGATTTTCCCCGCTTTCTGCACAAATGTGCGCCAAAGCGATGAACAAGTGACGGGAACCTTTGCGAAATGATGCAAACATGATGAATTCCAAAAAAAGGAACAATGATGAGCACTGATGAACAAATGATGCTTTGCTAGCATTTTCTTTAGTTTTCAGAGTTTTCTCAGGATTTGCAGCTTTGCCAGAAAAAACATCCATCGTTGTTAGATCATTTGTCCATAATTTTTCTGGTCCGCACGGATACCTGCAAAAATATTAACAAGAAAGCGCAAGCTACAAATCACGAAAAACTACGGTTTTTCAAGAACAAATGAACAAATGACGAGAACCCTTGCGACATGATGATCAAATGATGAAAATGATGAAACAATGATGAACACATGATGATTTGCAGGCATTTCCTTGGTTTTCAGAATGTCTTATCATTGTTTCATCATTTGTCCATCATTTTCCAGTTCGCACGGATACCTGCAAACATGTATAGTAGCGTTGCAAAAAAACAGGCTACATTTTGAAAACAAGAAAGCGCAACCTACAAATCGCGAAAAACAACGATTTGCAGACACAAACATGAACAACTGACGAGAATACTTGCGAAATGATGAACACATGACGAACAATTGATGAACACAGGAGGAAAATGATAAGCAAAATTATCTCCCAGTGTAAAACAATGGGAAACTAATGTTTTCACTGAGGTCAGTCTATGGCTGTCAAGTTCTCATAATGCTACATAGCACATTTGGACACATTGAATTCTACAGCGCAAAAGTCGAAACATAAAGGCGACCGATATTGCGTTCTGCCGGC